CCCCTGACTCTGGACCCACAGGGGTCAGTGGCGGGCCCCCTTCAACCCGGGAGGGGTGAATACCCGGGTCGCTGGGGTCCCCAGAGCCGGTCTGGAGAAAGGAGTGTGTGTGGGGAGGATCCGAAGATCTGACTGGGAATCCCGGGAAACTGGCCTCACTATGGTCCTTTAGAATTCGCTGAGAAGCCCAACTGCTGTCTGTCATCGAGTTACTAAACTGAGATCCTGCCTCGAAGGCAGGACAAGATGTGTTCTGATTTGTCTTTGTAACCTCAGAGCCCACGTGCATAGTGGTTTCACGCATTGAGTGAAGAATAAGTAGATGCGTGCGCGGCTGGATATGTCCCAAGCCAGGCCTCTTTAATAAACATCCAACACCTTCTAAGTACGAGGCATCCTGCGTGCGAAAGCAGGAGCAAGGCGGACGGGGCTGCCCTCAGGACCTCCACCCAACTGGAAGCAAGCACACAGGCTTGTGACCCGGTAACCTCAAGTGAGGCTCGCTGGGGAGAAGTAAAGAAGTGATGTGACAGGGGCGGGAGAAAGAGTTCTGGGTGGGCAGAAAAGACCTCTTGAGAGAAAGAGTATTCCAGACAGAGGGCGCAGCTGCATGGAAAGGCTCGGAGCGGAAATAAACGGGCCGCACGGGAGGACCACAAAGTATATTGTGACTGAGGGGGCAGTGTGTCTTAGAAGGGAGAGGGCCAGATCACCTGATTCGCTTACTCCTCCCACTCCACTTTGTACGTTGTCGCCAAATTAGCATTCGCTCCACATTCCCCAGATACCTTCCAAAGATTCTGAGCCCGGTATTCAAAGCCCTTCATAAGCTAACCTCACACTACCTTTCCAGTCTTTTGTCTCCTTATACCCTGGCCAAATTTTTTACTCAAGTGGGCAAATGAACCCACTTGCTAGCTGCTGCACATACCTTAAATATTTTCACTTTATGTCTTTCCCTTTCTATTATTTATTTATGCTTTTTCAGTGTTGGAGTTTGAACCCAGGGCCTCATTCTGAGCTACGTTTTGTTTTATCTTTAAATTTTTGGGCAGGCAGCTGGACAACAGTGTGAGACCCTCAAAAAAGGAAGGGGAGGAGGAGAAAAGGGAAGAGAAGGAAAAAAAGAAGGAAGAAGAAAATTATCTGTCTAAAGTCTAACATTAAATAACAATAACAATGTTACTGAAATTGCCCAGGCTGGACTCAAAAGTGTTGATCCTCCTGCCTCAGCCTTGCTGTGCTGGAATTATAAGCATGCGCCACTACGCCCAGCTAAAATTTTTATCAAAGTAATATGTGTGCATAACCAAATAGTGTTAAAACTTTCAACAAAAACTGGGATCCTCCTCCATTTTCCTCATTTCCATAATACTTCATTTTAGCTCTATTACCATTTTTTGATTTGTGGATTCTAGACACTGCCTATTGATTTCCAGTTTTAATTGATGATGATCTCTGTTTTTTGGTACTGGGGATCAAACTCGGGGCCTTGCACTTGCAAGGCAGGCAGCAGAACCACTGAGCCAAATCCCTGGCCCATGATGATGATCTCTCTTCTAGCTCCTACCCTTTAAAAATACTGAAATCACACCTGTTGGTTAAATAAATGTAATCTTAGAATTGCCTTTTTCTTTTTTTTTTTTTTTTTTCTGAGATAGGGTCTCACTATGTAGTTCAGATTGGCTTTGAACTCAGTATGTATCCCAGGCTGGTCTTGAATTCAGTGATCCTCCTGCTTCAGCCTCTTGAAGGCTGGGATCACAGGAGTGCACCACTACATTGGGCTTGTTTTGTTTTTTGAGACAGGGTCTCACCGTCTAATCCAGGCTGGCCTTGAACTCATGGTGATCCTCCTGACTCAGCCTCCTGTGTGCCGGCACTACAGGCATGCACCACAACCCCGGGGTGCCATTATTTTCACTATGAGCACTGTAAATGTACACTACTAACCCACTGGTGTTTCATGATTGCTTCCTTTACAACTTTTTGTTTCTCATCATTAATCATTACTTTACTTTTATTGCTTTGTTCTTCAAAATATACCTATTATTAGTTCTTCCCACATAAAGTAAGTTTCTCAGTACATTCTTTAGGATTGGACCCAGGACCTTCATGCTCAGCTACATCCCCAGCCCCACTCCCTTTTTTAAATTTCCTTTTTTTTTTTTTTTTTTTCCAATACCAGGGATCCAACTCAGGACCTTGCACTTGCAAGGTAGGCGTGGCCCCACTGAGCTAAATCCCAGACCCTTTTACTTTCTTGAATATCCTATTATTCCTATTCTTTCTGCAACTCCTGTTTGATGTTAACTAGATAGATCCTTTTCTTCTTTCATTCCTTCCTTTTTCCTTTCCTCCCCCTCTCCTTTCTTTTGAAGGTCTGTTGTCCAGCTGCTTTACCTCAAACTTGGACTTGAGATCCTCCTGCCTCAGCCCTGGAGTGCTGGAATTATAAGCATGCATCACCACACCCAGTTTTGTCCTTTATTTTCTTATCCTTTTGGTTTTGTTCTGTTCTTTTGAGACAGGGTCTCACTATGTAGTTGAGACTGACCTGGAACTCACTATGTAGCCGAGGCTGGTCTCAAGGCAGGCAGCAGAACCACTGAGCTAAATCCCCAGATCTGTAGGCTAGTCTCAAATTTACAGCAATCCTCCTGCCTCAGCCTCAGAGTGCTGGGATTACAGGCCTGTGCCACCATGCCCGGCTCTTTTTACTTATTGACTTCATCCTTTTGAAAATCTTAACATTATGTATAGGGCTGGGGATTTAGTTCAGTGGTTCTGCCACCTACTTCAAAAGCTCAAGATCCGGAGTTCAATCCCCAGTACTAAAAACACCCATTATGTACAAGTCTTACAACCATTTACCCATCCAACTTATATATATATATATGTGTATATATATTTATAATCATTTAGATATTAGATAGGCAAACTGTCCATGATTTAAAATCCAAGAACCTCATAAAAACATAACAATAAAATATCTCTCTCCAGCCTGGGGATGTAGCTTAGTGGTACAGCACTTGGCCTAGTATGTGTGAGGCCCTAGGTTCAATCCCCAGCACCACAAAAACAAAAAACAAAACCCACCTCCCCCCAAAATTCTCCTACACTTGGTTCTTTAGTGCTCCAGTTCTCGGTAGGATACAAATCTGCAATCCTGCCCAAGCCTCCCTCTTAGCTGTTAGTACAGATGTGGCCCCCACAGCTGGTTAATTTACTAAGTTCTGAGAACTCTTTATTCTCCGATTCCTTTTCATAGCATCTTCATAGTCATCTTCCTTGAGTTTTGAGAATTACGACTGTACCTTTACCCCCAGCCCCCTCCCCACAGCCATCATTTCCATGGCTTCAGTTTTCCTTGCTTGCTTTGACCTCCGCCTTTCCTGCCGGAAGTGTCTTCAAATGTCTGCAGGACTTTTGCTCTTCACGTCAGTGAAATATTGAAAAGCTGCCTAGCTCTATGTACACAGCTTAGTAACTGAGGGGACTGATTCACTCTCATGTAGATTCCCTCCCCAGGAATAAGAAACGGCAGCATTTATAGGCCCTTTCTCCCTATAGTTGTTCCGAGGGGCTGAGCTTTTTCTCGGTTCTGAAGGGCTTACTAAAACCCACTCCAAGAGGCAGGGCATAACTTACTCCACGGCACCTTCCACTCTCCCATTTTTCAGAATGTTTGATGTTTTTTGTTGTTGTTATTTTGAGACAGGGTCTCACTATGTAGCGCAGGTTGGTCTGGAACTCACAGTGATCTTCCTGCCTCAGCCTCCCGAGTGCTGGGATTACAGGCGTGCGCCACCACGCCCAGCTTCAGAATGTTTGATGTTTCTCATTCATTATCATTTCATTTTTCTTGACTCATGGGCCTTTTTAGAATCCCCTGGCTGGTATTTTAATAGGGTTTTTGTAGGGAGCGAAAAAACTTAATTTTCCATATTTAATTGGAAATCTTGTGCTATTGTGTATATGGAGGGGGGCTACTGGCGATTGAACATAGGACCTCCCAGGCCAGTCAAGTGTTCTACCACTGAGCCATATCCCCAGCCTTTTTTTTTTTTTTTGGGGGGGGGGCCGGGG